TTTGTAACCTAATATATGATCTATTTTGAAGAGAGATCCTTATGCTGCTGTTGGGTGAAATATTCAGTATATGTCTGTTAGCTCCATTTGGTCTATAGTGTGATTCAAGTTCTCTGTTTCCTTACTAATGTTCTTTCTGGATGTTGTGTCCACTATTGAAAGTGGGGTGTTGGAGTCTCCTACTATTATTGTATTTCTATCTATTTTTCCCTTCAGTTCTGTTAATGTTTGCTTAATATATTTAGGTGCTCTTATGTTGGGTGCACATATATTTATAATTGTTATAATCTTCCTTGTGGATTGACTCTTTTATCATTATATATTAATACTCTTTTTCTCTTAAGAGAATGAGAATGCAAGCTAAAGGCTAGGAGAAAATATTTGCAAAATACATATCTAACAAAGGATCTAACACATCTATAAAAACCTTCACAATTCAGTAAGTAAAAAACAATACAAACCAATAAGAAAATAGGCTAAAGATTTGAATATACAATTCACCAGAGAAATTCTACAGATAGCAATCAACAGATGAAAAAATATTCAACATTCAGTTATTAGAAAAATGCAAACTAAAGTCACAATGAGGTATCACCACACACATTTTAGAATGACTAAAATTTAAGAAATTAACTTTGTCAAATATTGGTAAGGATCTGGAGGAACTAGAAACTCTCACATATTGCTCTTGAGAATTAAAGTGTATAGTCACTTTGGACAACAGTTTGATAGTTTCTTTCCTTATTTTTTCTTAAGAGATCAGGATCTTGCTATGTTAATCAAGCTGGCCTCAAACTCCCAGGCTCAAGAGGGATCCTCTTCAGCCCCTTGAGTAGCTGAGATTACAATAGTGCACCACTGCCCCTGGTTGGTAGTTTCTAAAAAGTTAAACATACACTTATCATATGATAGAGTCACTCAACTCCTAAATATTTATCCAAGAGAATAAAAGCATATGTTCACACAATGTCCTCCAAGGTTTTTAGCAGCTTTATTTGTATTAGCTAAAAACTGGAAACAACACAAATGTCATCATCAGGTAACTAGATAAACAAATTATTGTACAGCCATATGATAGCATTCTATTCAACAATAAAAGGAAATTAACAGTAAAACTAATGTTTTAATCTCAAAGCCATTATGCTGAGTGAAAAAGTCATACCAAAAATAGAGGACATACTATATGATTCCATTTATATTAAATTCTATGGAGGGCAAACTAACCCATAGTGACAAAGCAGGTGAGTGGTTGCTTGTGGAGAACGAGGTTGACAGCTAGGTTACAAAGGGACAAAAAGAGATTTTTTTTAGTATGTTCATTATCTTGATCGTGATGATGATTTTATTGGTTTTTTATAAATGTCAGAGTTCATCAAATTGTACTTCTTGAATATACGAAGTTTATTATATGCCAATTATATATCATTAAAACTGTTAAGAAAAGATTTTTACATCAAAAAATATTTTAAAAGATGGCCTTCTAATTGAACTTTAAAATAATGTATTGTTAAACAATTGAGTGATAATTAAAGTACAAACAAGAATTAAAGGATTCTGAAAAAAAGATAATTAAACCACTATAAATATCCTATCTATAAGATATGTTTAAAACAGTAATCAGAGGATAATGTATGGCTATGAACACTGTATCTCGAAACACAGAAGAATGAAAATGACTTAATTCAAAAATATATAATGTCCCCCTAAAAATTACAAGAAAGAAGCATAACAACTGTACATTATATGTACCTAACAACAGAGGCCCCAAATATATGAAGTAACAACTGTTAAGTTGAAGGGAGAAATAAACAATTCAACAATAATACTTGGATATCTCAGTGTATCACTTTTAATAATGGCTAGAATAACTAGATAGGAGATGATAAATAAAATAGAAGACTTGAACAATACCATAAAATAACTGGACCTAATAGACATCTATAAAACACTCAATTGAACAGCATATGTTCTTCTCAAATCCACATGGAACATTGTCCAGTATAGATCATAAGTTTGGCAACAAAACAAGTCTTAGTAAGTATAAAAAATAAAATTATAAAAAGTATCTTCTTCAATCACAATGGAATAAAATTAGAAATCAATAGTAGGAGGAAATTTGGAACATTCACAAATATGTAGAAATCAAATTCTTCACCAATCTAATGGCTCAAACAATAAACCATAAGAGATACTTGAAAATTCTCTGATATAAATGAAAACAAAACCAAAGTATGCCGAAATGCGTGAGATACGGTGGAAGCAGTATTGAGATGAGAGTTTTCATTGCAAACATCCCCATTCAAAAGAATAAATATCTCAAAGCAATAACCTAACTATATAAGGAACTAGAAAAAAGAACAAGCTAAATTCAAAGCAAACATAAGAAAGGAAATAAGAGTACAGTGTAAATAAATGACATCGAGAAGGGAAAAACGATAGAGAAAATGAACAAGCACAAAAGTTAGTTCTTTTAAAAAAATCAACAAAATTAATGAAATCAAAACTTTAGACTTACCAAGAAAAAAAGAGGACTCAAATTACTAAAATCAGTGATGAAAGAGAGGACATTACAATTGACCTTACAGAAATAAATGGAGTTATAAAGAAATAATATGAACAATTATATACCAACAACTTAGATAACCTAAATGAAATAGACAAATTCCTAGGAAGACACAAACTACCACCTTGACTTATGGGTACATACAAGCATAGACACACGGCTCAATGGAATCAAATTTAGGGTCCAGAAATAAACTCATGTACTTATGGTCAATTGATTTTCACCAAAGATCTGAAGACCATTCAGTAGAGAAAGTATACTATTTTCAACAAATTGTGCTGGAAGACAGCTGGATACGCACATGTAAAAGAATCAATTTGGATATCTACACATAACATGTACAAAAATTAGTTAAAAATAATAAAGATAAAATATAAGTGCTAAAACTATAACTCTTATTTAAAAAAAACAAATCTTCATAATCTTGGATTTGGCAATAGATCCTTAGATAGGATAACAAAAGCAAGCAACAAAAGGAAAAGTAATAAATTGAACTTTGTCAAAATTGAAAACTTTTGTGCATCAAACACTATCAAGAAAGTGGAAAAAACAACCAACAAACTGAGGGAAATTATTTTCTAATCATACACCCTGTGAGAAACTTCCTATGAACTAAATACTTGCCCCAAATTCACATGAGGCAGAGCTCTCATGAATGGGATTAACACTCTTATAAAAGACACCTGAGAGAACTCCCTTGTCCCGACCACCACATAACCTAAGTATATGCTTAAAAAAAGTATATAGGAAACACTGCAAGATGGCCACATATGAACAAGGAAGTAGGCCTTCACTAGACACTGAATCTGCTGGCACCTTGATTTTTAACTTCCCAGTCTCCAAAACTGTGAGAAATAAATTTCTGTTGTTTCTAAGCCATCCAGTCTATGGCACTTTGTTTCAGCATCACAAACAGACAAAGCCAGGTCTAGGACTGTGAATATATAAAGAACTCTTAAAATTCAACAACAAAAAGAACACAAACCAAATTTTTTTAAATCGTTGAAGGACTAGACCAGATATTTCTCTTAAAAGACATACCAAGAAGATATAATCAATAAATACATAAAAGGATATCTAGAATCTTTAGTAATTAGAGAAATGCAAATTAAAACCATAATGAGGTAACACTTCACCCCCACTAGGATAGCTATAATTTAGCAATCACAACAAAAAGAAAATAAGTGTTGACAAGTATGTGGAGAGATCAGAACCCTTATATGTTGCTGGTAGGAACATAAAATAGTTCAGCCACTGTGGGAAGCATTTTGGCAGTTCCTCAAAAACCTAAATATAGGATTACCACATGATCTAGCAATGCCACTCCTAGATACATATCCAACAGAACTGGAAACATGTCCAAACAAAAATATGTGTACACACTATCCATAGCAGAATCATTCCTAACAGTCAAAAAGTAGAAACAATCCACTTTTCAAATGGTGAACATTTGATGAATCCAAATGTTCATCAACTAGACACACAATATATGGTATATCCACCCAATGGAATATAAGCCTTAAAAACAGTGAAGTATTGACACAGGCTATGATATGCATGAACCTTGAAAACATTATGCAAAGTGAAAGAAGCTAAACACGAAAGGTTAAATACTGTATGATTCCATTTATATGAAATGTCCAGAATAGGCAACTCCATTGAAACAGAAAGCCAATTAGAGGCTGAAGGGAGGGCAGAACAAGGAGTGGCTGCTTAATGAATATGTCTGTCTGTTCTAGCACTGCTATAAATAAATACTTGTGACTGGGTGATTTATAAAGAGAAGTTTCTGCTGCACAACAGCCTGGGCAACAGGATGAAATGTTGACTCAAAAAAAAAAAAAAAAAACTAGCTTTAATTGGCTCACAGTTCCACAGGCTATACAGGAAGCATACATAGAAGCTTCTGCTTCTGAGAGGCCTCAGGACACTTACAGTCATGGTAGAAGGCAAAGGGGAGAAAGCATTTCACGTGGCCAGAGCAGGAGGAGGAAAGGGAGGAGGGAGTTACCACACACTTTCAAACAACCAGATCTCAGGAGAATTCATTATTGCCACGACAGCATCAAGGAGGATGGTATTAAACCATGAGAAACCGCCCCTATGATCCAATCACCTCCCACTAGGTCCCACCTCCAACACTGGAGATTATTATTTGACGTGAGATTTGGGCAGGGACACAGATCCAAACCATATCAATGTGTATGGAGCTTGTTTGGGGGGTGATAAAAATATTCTGGAATAGAGTTAGTGATAATGCTTGCACAATTTTATGAATGCACTGAAAGCCACTAAATTGTACACTTAATACTGTGAATTCTATGCTATATTAATTTTATATAAACTTTTTAAGAAGGATATGGGAGGCTCAAATACAATGGCACATTTGAACTTTTCAGGACAAGATCTTTTAAAACACTTGCCCAATAAATATGAATATATGGGCATCCCCCAATTGGCCTTTAAGACATTCTTCTCATTGGCTAAGAACATTCTCATCTGCTCAGCAGCAGCCTCCTATTGGCTGGACCCTTGATGCTGAGGCTTGGAGGCAAAGCCTGGGTCTTCTAGGCACAGCAGATAAGTCAGGGGAAGGAAAGTAGGGGTTTTAGCAAACCCTCCAGTTAGGGGTCTGGGTCCCCAAGAGCTGACTGAGTCTGTTCAAGCATTTCTCTCTAGTGCCAGGCCTTTGGTTGGTGTAAATAGGTCAGAGGTTGGCATTGGGGGGTCTGATTTGCAGTCTTACTATTCTTCTTTTTTTTTTTTTTGAGACATAGTTTCGCTCTTGTTACCCAGGCTGGAGTGCAATGGCACGATCTCGGCTCACTGCAACCTCCACCTCTTGGGTTCAGGCAATTCTCCTGCCTCAGCCTCCTGAGTAGCTGGGATTACAGGCACGTGCCACCATGCCCAGCTAATTTTTTGTATTTTGAGTAGAGACGGGGTTTCACCATGTTGACCAGGATGGTCTCAATCTCTTGACCTCATGATTCACCCGCCTCGGCCTCCCAAAGTGCTGGGATTACAGGCTTGAGCCACCGTGCCCGGCCTGCAGTCTTACTCTTAACTCTTGTGAGGCCTCAAAACAAGGACCTTCTGGGTGGTGCCTTCCACTGGGGTAAAGTGAAAAGACTCCAGGATCACAGACACCCAGGGTTCAATGGCCTGGTAAATAGAGAGCAGGAGGCAGTACCAGCACAGCCGGAACTCCTTTGGGCCTGTTACCTCAGAAGCCAGGGGATGGCTGACCTAAATTCTGGAAGGCCCCACCTCCCATAGCCCCAACAGGCAGTGCTCATGATCAGTAACTTTCCTCCAAGCCACCCCTCCCCCGCCCCAATGTCCCTATACTGCGTGGACTCCTGGAGTCCCCTGCCCCCACCTCTGCCCAGGAAGGCCGGTTTGGGACCAATCAGAGGCTGTAGGACTTTCTGGAAGGCTCAGGGTGCCCCCACGGGTGTGGCAGGGCCTCTGATTGGAGGAGGCCTGCCGGGAGGGTGGGGGTGATGGGCGTGGCTAACAGAATAACTGCCGGAGCCAGAGCCGTTGGCAGTTATTTAACAACCGCCACCTGTTCCTCCAGGATGACTCCACACTGACTTATTCCTCGACAGACTGATTTAGCAGTGCTCCCCAAGAATATCATAACTGCTGAATGATAGAAGAACCTCCGAGGCCCAGGATGTGCATAAGAAGGCGCACATTCACTTACCTGGCAGGGTGGTTTCTGACGTTGTCGGCGGAAGGCTGCCCAGGGCCGCTGCTGCCCATCCTCCTCCTCTAGGTGAGGAGCTTCTGAACAGGCGGGGGCGGGAATGGCCTGCGGCAGCCGCCCAGGACCCTCGTGGGCCTCTTCCCCCGCTTGGCTGCAGCTGCAGTCTAGTACTTGTCCATCCTGCTCTTCCTTCAGTTCTGTATATTCCCATGGAAGAAGAAATCCATTCCCCCATAGATGGAGGAGAGTGTCCTGCATGCTACGAAAGAGCCCGGGACCCAAAGGACAAAGACGTGCCCGGCAGACCTGCCCTCGCCAGCGCTAGCCCGGGTCGGAAATCTCTGGAGTGTGTGGCCCAGACCGGCCCCTCCCAGGCATGGCTCTGTTTCCCAGTGGGTATGTTCCCGTGGGCTCACCGCCCCCTTGCTCCCATTTCTGCCCTCCCTCCCTATGGTGATGAGTGAACGGTTGGGGAGGGCGGAACCCAGACCTGGGGTCAGAAGGTCCCCTTGTCCAGTCCCAGGTCTTCCATCTAAGCCATGCGATCATGGTAAGGACACCTCACCCTTGGTGAGCATACCCACTCACGTGGAAAGAGACACAGTGATAATGCCCTAATCCAGAATTCTCAGAAGAATGGGAGTAATTATGTAGATATCTTTTGAAAACCAATGTACTGCCAATTACATTTTGTGGTTTTAACTTTGTCTTGTTTCTGTGCTGTGTGTTGTCTTTGTATGTATCAAGTTTCTTCTAATTTTTTTTCTTTTATAGAATGATCTTTATCCATAATGAAGCTACAAGGAAGAGGAGGAAGGCAGTCTGCATATACCACCATTTTCTAGAGACTGGGAAGACAGCCCTTAGGATGATCCATCCCTGTGTAACCCTGCCCAGGCTTACCAGCCTTTCCTGAGCTGGAGCTATTTGGACTAGTATCTAACAGGACTTGACATTGGGTCTCCACACTTGCACCCTCCTTGTCCCCATCAAAATATGCAGTACTCTGCCTTCAGATAGGAGACATGACCCTTGCACAACAAGAAAAAGTCTAACCTTCCTGGGTCAAGGTTCCTATGCTTCCTTAGTAGAGGGCTAGCTGTGAGTTGGAATCCCACTATGAGCTTTAGAATCAGTCAAGAGGAAGTGGGCCCCTTCCCTTCATTCCTCTTTATTTCCCCTTTTGTCCCAGAGCCCAGCTTTGACTCAAATGTTTTTCCAATTACCATCAACATAGAAACTCGGCTCCCCACATGGGTATAATTTCCAATGTTTCACAAGGCCTTGTGCGTGAAAACTCCCTGTCTGAAAGAGGCCTTGGGGGCTCAAGAAACCTGGTCAGCCAGCCAGGCTAGTCCCACATACCTCAGGACAGAGTGGACCAGTTTAATAAAGGCTCTATGTCATTCTTTTCTGCTTGAGCTGATTGGTGTGCTGATTCGGAAGGGGCTTGATGGAAAAAGTTTGGCCCCTTTTCCTTCTCCTATCCCTTCTGCTATACAAGAACACAGTGTCCTCCCATCTGAAAAAATGTAGCATCAAGGTGCCATCTTGTAAACAGAGAGCAGTCCTCACCAGAGAGCTGAACCTGCTGGTACCTTGATCTTGGACCTCCCAGCCTCCAGAACAGTCAGAAATAAATTTCCATTCTTTATAAAAAAAAAAAAAAAAAAGAATCGGAAGACCCTGATTCTTTATTCTTTTCCCCAAACCAGCTCAATTGGTGTTTGTGCTACAGGGAGATGAACAATGGGGAGGAGGGCTGTTACAAGGAATGCCCTTGGCCCTCCCACCTCCTCCTCTGAATGATACCCTCGTTATCTTAGGCAGGAACCTGCTACCAGTTGGTTTAGTAGATGCCTGGCGGTTTACTATGAGTATTTACCTTGTATTAGGGCAAGGACTAAAGGAACAAATGTATCCACTTCAATTTCAGGTCAAATGGGAGGATGTGGATGGGAGTAAATAGTGATTAGTATTGAGGTCCTAGAATTGTATTGGTTACTATTTTTATACCTTTTATACTCTTCCAATTCTTGAATGAAGGTAAATGGAGACTTACTAAGGAACAAATCACTAGTGGCAGGGTGGTGGCGTCTGGTGTCCTGCTTAGAGTGTGAAGAGAGTGTGCCCCATCATTGGCCCATGCTGTGCCCCTGGGAGGTGGTAAGCAACTGTCCTGGACTGCACAACTGGTAGTGAAATTCATAGCAGAATGCAACATTCATTTGCTGGGGTCTCACAGTTGGCTAGTGTCCCTGTGCCTTTTCCTTCCATTTGATGTGTCATAGAGACCAGACGTGATTTGGCAAGAGAAAACAGACATTCAAGATTTCCTAAAGATTTCTCAGCAAGGACCCTGGCTGGCTGTTTTTCTACTCTAGTGGTGATCACAGCAGATACTGGCAGTTTTCTGTTATGACTCTGGGGTCTTTTAAGGAGCAGGAATGGTGGAACTTGTGCAAACCTGGAGCCACAATCAAGTACTAAGCTCCTTGAAGCACAAGGTATGAGAATACTTTATCATGTTTTCTCTTCCTTGGAGGATTTATGAATTAAAACTAAGGAATAATTTGTAATCAGAATAACACTGACAGGGATATTGATGAGCTGAGGAGTGCTTATTTGGAGATTTCTGATGTTTTCCAGCTCTGAGATTTCAGACCTAATATCCATATAATGGTCATTAATGTATTGTAATTTATAACAGTTTTATCAGTGATCTATTACATTAATCATCATGAGTTGGTGACTTTTCAAATCCTACAGGTTATTTGTTTAACTATATAGAGCTATTTAATTTACAAACCCAATACTCTTTGAGGTAGATACCAGAACCATTTTACATTTGAGGATATTGAAACCAGGAAGGAAAAAGACTCAACTCTTGAAGGAATGGACATGGGGTGCCCTTGCCTTCCTTAGGGGGAGAGCCACCTATTCTGTGCAGCTGGAGTTAGGGCCTGCCGCCCTACTCCTCCTCTCTATCCAACTGCCACACTTTAGAAAAAAAAAAAAGCAGCAGTGATGTGGGAATTATTTAGTGCTTAGTTTGAAAGGAAAAATTTTAAGGACCTTAAGAGCAACCTTTTATTTCTTACCATATGAGGCACTGGGACAGGCACCGAGAAGTCACTAAATATTACTTGCCCAATGCATTTTTTCATGGCTTCGACTTTTTGTTAGGCTCACTTTTTTAACCTCATCGCTCACACGTTATGATTCCTTCCAGAATTCACTGAAATTTTAATATCCCTTGGTGTTCCTTAGGTAACTTAGGAGTAACTCTAGTTACTAAGTGATTACCCAACACTTCCCCTAACTAGTTGTATGACGTTGAGCAGGCTGCTTAACTTCTGTGTGTCTCAGTTTTCTCAGCTGTGAAATGAATGATCCAACCTCTATGTCAGAAGGATGGGTGAGGCTCATGAGGAATAACCCACATGAGAAATCTGGGATGCTTACCACAGTGTTTGGTAAATAACATGAGTTTCCTCTTCCCTGTTTGAACAGTCCTTTATATTCTGCTGAGAGCTTTCCTGTTCATGCTGCATCACGACCCAAAGGGGAAAGAATCGTGAGTCCTGGACTTCTCCCTCCTCTAGTTGGTTCAGGGTCAATCCAGATTCCATTGTGAAAGACCCCCACCCTTCTTTGCAACAGCCTTCTTCCCAAGGATACTTGATATGACTGATTAATAATCTGATTAACACTCTGGAACAATCTTAGAAGGGTTAGGTCTCATTACCCTCATCCATTCTCTACCCATTTAGTCTCCAAGCCATTCTCTGGAAGAGACAAGTGGTTCTTGTCCAAATGGATCCTGGAAGATATGAGCGGGACTGTGCCCTGAGACCTCCAATATTCATGGAGAAGCAAGTCCTTTCTGCCTTCACCAGTCCTTGAAAGGTCGAGATTTTCCAATGTGCCTCTATTCTTAACGTGGGGGAATGGGAGTCTTTGCCTTCATACAGGAAGTAACTGGAGACTCAAAGCAGATAGGACAAACACAAATCTTGAAAATGACCATAACTCCTTGTTGGTCCCTACTTGCCTCCTGGTTTCACTAGGAAGAGAGTTACTCCAGGTAGAGCACACGGCTCCTTTCCCCACCTTTAATGTGGACAGTGGGTGGGCTGGGCCAATAGTCTGGACCTGGACAGCTGTGTCCTCTCAACGAGAGTCTGCCATGCCCCGCTCTTTCCTACTTATCCTTACTTAGATACCTCTTACTCCTCCTTTCCTGCTCAGGTTACAATGGTCAATAATCTCTGACCCCTGTCCCAGCTAGATTGGCACTGGAGAGCTGAGAGAGCCTCGTGTTCGTGGAGAATTCTGGCAGAGCTCCTCTCTTTAGCCCCCTCTCAACTCTCCAGGGTCCTGTGCCCCTTGTCTACCTCTCCAGGCTTGACTCTCCTCTCACTTGCATGGACATTATCTTTCCTAGCTCTGGGCTGCCTTCTTAGGCTCATGTTTTTCCCTCTTTGCTGCTATGGCAGCCAGATATCACTGTAATGCCTGAGTGTGGGGGTGTGGTATGTAGGGGATTCCAGTTCTGGGGTCAGAAGATTTGAGACCTACTTCTGTCCCATAAGTGCTATAAAAACTAAGCCAAAAAAAAAAAAACAAAACAACTTTGATCCTCAGTTTAGAAAAATTTGTAACATGGAAAAATCAGACTTTTGATAAAGAATACGGTTATCCATGCTTAAGGAATGTTTGGAATGCTGTGATGGTATAGAATCTTTTTGGCTGTGCTTCTGACCTTGTATACCTCTACATATAAGTATCTCCAGTGTTGTATCTGTTCCACCATTCTTCAGACAAAGCTCAATGAAGGCAGGGAAGGAACCCTCACTGACCACTCCCGGAATCAGGTGCTCTTGTCTGAGCCCCTTCATCTTTAGTTTGGGGTAGAAAGCACAGATGGAACCTTTCTCTAGTTTTCTCATGTCTGGCACAAACCCTCATTTTCTGTAACCTCAGAAAGGATGGAAGACCTTGAGCCTCAAGAAAAAAGCCACAAGAAAATTCTATGCCTCTGCTTCCCTCACAAGTCAAAGCTGAGCTAGCCCACAGCAGTTTGCATGATTCCTCAGAAGGTGGAACCTCAGCAGGACCCTTAAAAGCACAAAGACCAAGGAAGAATTGGGCTTCTGCACTGGATCACTGTTGAGGTCTCCTCCCTGCCTGCTTCCAGACCTCTGGAGTGACCCAGTCTTCTCTATGGAAACACAGAATCCAACCTCTTCATGTAGGTCAGTCACTCCAGCCCCAGTATGTCCTGGCACACTCCAGCTCTCCCCAAACAAACTGTGAAGCATTAGCCCTACCTAAGGAGCCTGTCCAGCCATGCACACATCCACAAACCCTCTCTGACCTTAGGATGAAACCATTTCTCTAACATCTTTTCTTCACTCTCATCGGGACTAGTATGTTGATTCAGAAGATCAAATTGGGAATTAATTTTAATCTCCCTACCTAAAGCAAATGGATGGTCTTTGGGCTAGAGGGGGCCCAGGTATTAAAGGGAGGCAGAGAGGGCTGGTCAATGGGCTATCATCCCATCACCCCTTGGGAAGAGCTTGCCTCCCATCTCAAGTGGAGAGCCTCTGGCCCACTCTCAGCCTTCTCATCAGAGCCAGACTCTCACTGAGTGATTTTCCTGGCACCTGGCAGTCTTCCCATCCCAGAAGAGAAACAGTGGGAGGTGTTCAGTGGCAGCATGTGTGTCATTCCCGAGTCCTGGTGTTAGATTTTGGCTGTTGGGCCAATCCTGGAAGAAAGATGAAGGGTGGACAGGATTAGGGAACCAATGAGGGGCAGGATCGCCATCCTCAGCCCAGTAGTGAGGTCTAGAATTCTCCAGGTGCTTCCAGCTACTATTGGGACTGTCATGTATGTCAGAACATACAGGGCATCAGGTGCTACAGAGGTTACCATGTGCTCTCTGCCCCTTCCCTGCCTCCTCTGTTTGCTAAAAATCATGGAGACAAGTGCTGATTTGGCAAGGGAATAATGAACCACCCGAGATTTTTCGAGCTGGGTCCCAGGCTCTGTACCTAGTTTTTTAAAACACTATTTTGACCATAGCAGTCTTTGGGAGCTGTTTGATGTCTGGGCTCTGGATTTCCCATGAAGTCAAGAATGATGGATTCACAAGGGCCCACCAGGAATATGGAGACATAAGCCTCAGGCCTTGGTCTGATTAGAGCACAGAGAGCCACTCCCTGCCTTGGGTAAATTCTGAAATTCATTATACATAATTTTGCCTGTAATAAGATTAATAAGAGCTTGTATGGATATTGAACAGGGGATCCAAATACCCATTGAGGGAGGCTGGAGTAGAAGACCTCTGATAGCTTTTGCCAGCTTTGAGAGTCTATGAGCTTAACATATTGAATATTATCATTAATATGCTATAATTTATGTTAATTTAAGTGATGCATATCATTAATAATAATGACTGTTATTTCGCTGGCTTTTCCAATCCAATATGTGATCTGTATAACTACCTGGTACTACACAGGCATACTTACTGAAGTAGATACTTACCATTGACATTTTACCAATAAGGAAACTGGCCAAGAAACAGGCTCTCAACCCAGATGCCCCAAATTAAACAGCCCCTTTCCCTCAGGAGCAACTGCACCTGCCTTGGATTAGTGAGGACCCTCTAGTTCTCTGCAACTGCTTTTCTTCCAGGCCTGCTTTGCTCCCTCCACCACACCCCCTCTCAAGCTCCTGGGACAGCCAGAGATGCCTCCTTCACCCCTGCTTGCCCAGGCACAGGATCCCAATCCTCAGTGCACCTCTGTTAGACCCAAAGCGAGTCACTTCTCCATACCAGGTCTTAATTTCCTCTTCTGTAAAGTGACTCAAGATTTTAGAACTTAAAATCTGGTGAATTCTTCCAGGCACAGGTGTCATCTTACATTGTATGGCCTTTGGCCAATCCATGCTTTCATCTTTTCTTTGACTTGAAATTAGTGAAGACAGACCATTCTTCGCATAATGAGAGATCTAAAACATCAGCTTATGTCCCCGTCCTTCAAGGTAATGTGCCAGGCCGTCAAAGGCATGCAGTGTCTTTCACTGTGACTTTTCTCTCTCTCAGTACCACGCACAGTGCTAGGCACACAGCAGGCCAGTGAGAGCGTGCTAAATGAGCACAGATGGATTTCTCTACCTCTCCCTCTTTTTCCACCGGGCTCAGTCTTCTGACGGTCAAGGTCCATATGCCAGGAGTCAGGCCTTTCACAGGAAACCCGGACAGCTCTGCATTTCTACCTCCTCTGCAGCTCTGTAGGAAACTTCCGAGCAAATCCATCAGCAGAGTGTTTACCCATCTTTGCTCCTCAATAGCTGTGGTTACCTTGGACAAGTTATTTAACTCTTCTCTATCTGAGATTCCCCAGAGGAGATATTAATAATACTTATTCCATTGTGTTGTTTTGATGATAAATTGAGATAATCTATATATAGCTCTTAGAAATGCGTGGAGCATAGGAAACTCTCAATAAATGTCAGCTATGGTTACCAACTTAATTTTGCAGTTGAAAAATGCCAACCTAATGTTCCTCTATTGAAGGTGTAAGAAATTTCCCATAACTAGTCTGGGTAGGTAAGGCAACCAGCCCATCTTTGGTGGACAGAAAGGACCATATCTTCCAAGAGACCCCACAGGAATGGGTACGAAGAGCAAAATAGGAAACCCAAGATGAAAGCCTTGGGGATTAAGAGCTGCAACTGAGGACTTAAATCCCTTCTTCTTGACAGTAGTACTCCTCAAATGGTGAGCAAGTCACCTGCTAGTTGCCAGGACATGCCAGGTCCATGACACAGGGGACAAGTGTAGGGCCCTGAGGTTTACTTCATGACAAAGTGGAAATGGTGTCAGGTCAACTAACAGAGGTCTCCATGGTCTGGAAAAGGGGATATCTTGAATGTAGCCTAGGAGATTCAAGGGAAAGAAAACTCATCCTTGCAAAGTATATGAATGTTAGTGCTGCTGTGGGGTGTGCCAGGGAGCACCACTGAACACATGTTACAGAGGAGGTGCAGGAGAAGAGGGGGTGTGCTCATCACCAACTAACCAGATGGACAGCCTGGACGGATGGGCTGGAGTTGTGGGAGGCTGGTCAGTGGGCTGACTGGCTGTGGACCAGATGGGTTTGGGGATCCCATGGAGATGGGTGAAATTCCAGCTCCACTCTCTCATCAGTAGGGAACAAAGTGTGTGGCTGTTGACGTCTTGGAAAGGACTAGATCATGAGATCCTCCTTGCTATAATCCCAGACAGACTCCAGCATGAGATGGTGGAGGAGAATTCTGGCTCCAATCACTAGAAGCACATTCAGCTGTTGGCTAAAGGGACCAATAAGAATATCAATTATTCCAACAATATCAGGAAAGTAACCAGGGAAGAGCCTGAAATCTGGGCCTACTTCCTCAGAATAAATGAGCAAAAGAAAATGCCACATGTTATACAAAATGAGAACATGGGGAAAGATCATTGAACCTGTCAGAAGATCCTAAGTAGCTATGATAGGGGTTAGGATAGCCTTAGAGGGTAAAGGCTAGCTCATCTCTTTGGTATGGGGGAAACACGCCAATTTCCCTCTGATAGAAGCTTCAGGGAAGGGAAACCTATGAGCCTTGTAAACACTGACTGACTGTGAGGTTCAGAACCTTAACTGAGATGACGGAAGCTACCTTTAGTTTAAGGGATGAAAGTACAAATAGATTATTTTTAAACAGTGAAAGTGACAGTGTTCCTTTTAGATACTGGGGAGTAACCTGGATGGGTCTGATTCTATTATGCAAAGGTAGAAACCTCAAGTATTTACCTGTGAGAAGCCTTCTCATCACAACAAATTCTTGCTGTCAACTGCGTCACATGGAAAGGCTGGGTTTGAGAATCTAGGTGGGATCTTTAAAACTGTGCATTCAGGTTTTGAGTGCTGCCTGCCAATACTCTTTTCTTTTGAATAAGTATTTCTATTTTTCTGGCAGCAGTTTGCAGAAATCCCAATGGTTGCGAGAACGGAGGAAGCCCCGCCCGGCTTGCTGAAGCCCTGAGACCTTCACTGCAGACACATGGAGAACAAGACACGGAAGTACTCAGGCTCTACTTACGAAAAATCAATACTCAGACTTTTAAATAAAAGTTACTTTGTATTTTGGAAGGGGGAAACCTGAGACAGTGACTGTTGCCTAACTTGGCTGAAAATTATATCCCTTAACAAAAAAGTATTCCTAAGGTCTTTTGGAATTTCAACACTGTACTGATGGAAAAAAAAAATTCTCTTGAGGGAAACCTGAGAGATGTGTCACTATCAAGAACATGGGGAAAGGGGTTGAACTGTTTTTTCAGAAAGCTTAATAATCAACTAGGCAAATATTGTATCAGCTATCTTACCTCTGCAAAAGATTGAAGAGCTGGAGGCTTCCCTATATCAGGGACGAGGATCTGGGTAGGTATCTTCCCCACTGGGACACAGGAGTATTCGAATAGAAAGAGGTGAGAAGATAGGTTTTGTCTTTGCAGCAAGCTGATGCCAGGCTTTTTACGTTAGGGGGAGTAAGTCATAGGCTCCTGGGGCAGAGGACCCCAGACAAGACTGGAGATGGAAATTTCATTAAACAAGGTGCCTCCTAGAGTCACAGAGAGGGGAGAAGGGGTGAACGCAGGGTGGGCTGGACAGCACAGTCTGAATCCTGGGGAATATTCCTGGCCAGGGGAGGGAACGTGTTTCAAGGCAAGGAGGGCCAGAAAGGCTGATGTACGGTCAGAAGGAACCCCTTCACCAAGGTGCTCTTGCCTGGAGTTAACACTCAGGATTCTAGCAGATCTTAGGCTAATCAAGGGTTTCCCAATTAGGCTACAAATGTGAATCAGTTAGTCATTTTAAAATACAATCTATAACTTGTTGACAGGAGGAATAAAGGATAAGGGAGGCAGTGGCGTGTCATGGAAAGAACTAAGGCTTTGCATCAGACTTACTGTGTGACCTCGGGCCAGTTACTTAACGCCTCTGAGCTTCAGTCCCTTCATTTATAATATGGGCACAATACTATCTACCTAAAAGGCTTTGGTGATGATTCAGTGAGAAACATATGTGAAGCAACAAGCACAGTATCTGGAAGCTGTAGGTACTCAACAAGTGTCAGTTTCCTTCCTCTTCCAACAGCTGGGCAGGCTTTCAAGTCAATTGTATGTCTGCAGTCGCACTGTCCAGTACAGTGGCCAGTACTAAACACATATGGCTCTCAGGTACTTTAAAGAGGGCTAATCTGAATTGATATGTGCCATACATGTGAAACACATACCAGATTTCTAAAACTTTGTGCCAAAAGACTATAAAATACCTTATTAATAATTTGAGTGATTACATGTTACAACAATATTTTTGATATATTGAGTTAAAAGGTAAGATTAAAATTAATTCCACCTATTTCTTTATACTTGATTCAACATGGCTTCTTAAAAAAAGTTAAAATTACAGCATGGCTCGCATTTCATTCTATTGGACAGCACTGATCTAGATATTAGAAAAGACAGAGTTGGGAAGCTGTGTTCCAGAAGCAGGTTTCTTTCTATACCTTGGGTTTGGGTTTTGGTTTGTTCTTCCATAATTTCCCAGTAAAATACCCTTTTGAAAAAAATACCATTCAGGGCTCAACCAAAATGAGTAGAAGATACCCATGCGCCCCTATTAGGTGCAGTGATGGTGACCACTGTCCAGAAACAAGTAGGAGGTAGAGCTGATATATCAGAGAATGGAGATGCCAGGTGGGACAGTCAGGACAGCTGTGGATGGACTGTTCTTAGCCTGAAGCTTGACTTTAGATTTCTCTACATATCTTTACTCTGGGAGGCTGATCCCATTCTCTATTATTTCAGAAGATTCCCCCACCTTATGGAACTCAGCAAGAAGCAGGCTCCCACCAGGCAGTAATAAACACGGGTGCAAGAGAAAATGCCACTTCAAAGCCATCTTTAGAAAACCCCAGAGTTTCCAGAGAAATGAACAGCAGACATTCAGACGTAAGAATGTTCTTTTTTTCTCCCGCCCAAGAAGTGTGGTTAGTGTTTGTCTTTGAAACTGTACATTTTACTGTACATTTTTTTTTAGCAAAGGAGAAGGTTCGCATTTATATTCTGACCACAGGGATGTTGCTTTCCAAAACTCCAAGTCAGAAACATGACAAACACAAGAGCAAGCACACATCATGTCACAACAGAGCTCGGAGCTGCTGATGAGAATAGATAGTGAGTTGGTTCCTTCCGCTGTCCACGACCTTCCCTCTGTGTGTCTGAATCCGAAGGCAAAAAAGAAAGCTGGTATTTGAGACCATTTCCACAATGGCTATAGTTTGAAAGGATGAATGAGAAAGATAAGGAGGGAGAAAAGAGAAGAGGAAAAAACAGGAAGGGAAAAGAGGAAGGGTGGAACAGATTTCCTTTCAAGTTACCCAATTCTGTAGGTACTTCTGTTACCACAGAAGGGATGTGCTCCAGGCCTGGGACTGGCCTGGAAAATTATTATAACTTGAGGTCTCAGGAGGGACTGGCCTGGTCTGTTAATGACCTTGTCAGAACCAGAAATGGACTGGGAAAGGCAGAGAGTAACAGCAGGAAAAAAAAAAGAATTAAGAGAGGGGAGGGAGAAGAGTGAGAAAGGAGGAAAGCCTGGGATTTGGAGGCTCTGGGGTTAGAGCCAAGATAATCCTGCATAGACAGCTGCAAATCCCTCCTTGTATGTTCCAGAGTGGGGTTGGGGGCCAGCAGCTCAGCTCTAGGTCTGAGGCCATTGGAACTTTTTGGCCCAGAATGGTCTTGCCTGTATGCTTTGTGGGCTGTGTGGTTGGCCAGTGGAAGTATGAAGAACAAGAGAGAGAAAATAGAGGTCTATGGAGGGAGTTGGAAGAGGAAAGAATGAGTTGGAGAGACTGAGGGAGAGGTAGTGAGTTGCTGATGAGTAGACATGGGACAGGGATGTGGGGGAAAGTCATTCCAATCTGTCTACAGCAGGTTCTCCCTGGGCACATGTCCTCTTTCCCTTCTCTTGCCACTGTCTGGAGAGTGGGGGTTCATTCCTAGATGGAAAGGACCCTATGCACCCCTCCCATTCCACCCCATAACTTCCAAGGATGGACCCTCCTCAGGAAACCAAGAGAAGGCATTCCTCCATCCCACCTTGAGCCACTTTCTTAGGGAAGAAACATGGGACATCCTTTGGACACAAAACTTCCCTAGTCAGAGTGAAAACAGCGTTATGGATCCGAAGCACCACTGCCAGGAGGCAGGTGGCCTTGGCTCCTGCCCTGACCTGGTCACGAACTCATGTGTGACCTTAGGCAATTCCGTTATGCTTTGAGGAAGGGAGAGAGGTAGTTAAAGATGGGATGATTGCAAACACCTCCCCGAGCTTCAAAACCCTATCATTCTAAAAAGATTCAACTTTCCCCCTCCAAGGCTTCTAGAATTCTCTCTGTCCAGTAAAAAGGATGGGGACTGCTGTAACCAGCTTGTGCTTCTGGAATCACTGAGCAAAAAAGCATAACATCTAGAGTCATGAAGAACTAATAGGTCCATAGAACTGGAAAGGGACTGGAGACCTAGTACAATCCCAGTGTTTTTGCAAATTAGGAAATTCAAGTCCCAAGAGATAAAAGGTTCTTGTCCCAGTTATTCAGCTGGCTATTCATGACTATGGAGCCCAGACACAGAGCTTCAGACTCCAAGTCCACTGCTCTTCCTGCCACCCACACTGCTTTCCTTAAGAGAAGCCATGCCAGCTTCCCAGAAAGTGGCAACAAGCCCAAAGCAATTCCAGAAGTTAAGATCCCTTATGACCTACAGCATGAAGCTCTCCTCCCTCCCCACACATAAGAACCCAGGAAGTTACCCTTCTGGTTTAAGCTTCTGTGATGGGTGTGGCATGTCATGTTGGAGAATCAAAGGAAACGAAGTCAGGTATCAGGGGTCAGTCACTCATCCCTTCCAGTGTTGGGTGTGGGGGTGTCTGGGAGTAATGAGAGCTCTGGGCAGGGAACCCCATAGTCTTCCCCCAAACAAGTGTGGAAACAGAATAATTCCTTCCTCTTGTCAATTGGTAACAATTACCCCCTACCAGGGCTGCTGGGAACACGCATTCATATGTACGATTAACTCTCTCGATTATCCGTGTGAATGAAGAGGAGGAGTCTGGGAAATGAAAAACAAATAAATTAAGAAATAAAAACAACACTAGACCCATAAGCAATCCAAAGCCGCTTGCTTGTAGGCTACATTTGTGATTAGAAAGGCGGAATCTCGCCTTTCCAAGCACTCAGGGCTCAGTCCGGCATTTGAGCGAGTCCGCATTCCCTGAGCACACCCCGGCCGGGTGGTGGGGAGGTGACGTGGGTGTTGGGGGTAAGGTGGGGACACGAGGCCATTGACAGGGAGACGAAACTGTCTCTGGATGTAAACATCACCATGGAAACTCCACAAACACTTGCCAGTAAGATTCTTTCCCCTTCTTCTCCCAGCCTGCGCGCAGGAAAGGGAGCATGCCCACCCCCACCTAGACCGTGCTCTCCATCACCCACTCAGAGCTGCCAAAAGTCCCCCGGGCCCCCGCCAGGTCACTCTCCTCAAAGGGCAAGAGCATGCCGTTGACAGATAGGCTGCGCTTCGTCCAGATGTTCGAGACCCTCTGAGGGGGACTATAGCTGCCGGGCACGACCCCTCCCGCCGCCGCAGCCGCAAAGTCCCCCATGTCGAAAGAGTGGCTGCGTTTGGCCTTGCCCTCCAAGGGTAAGGGGAGCAGGCTCCTGGCCCGGGCTGCAGGGGGCCCCAGCAGTGGCTCTCGGTCCGAGTGGTGGCCCCTGGCCGACATCCCGGCCCCTCTCCCGGCTGGAGTCCTGGAGTCCAGCAGCTCCTCCTTTCTCTGACTCTTGAGGTCCAGGGAGGCAAAGGCCCCCATCAGGCGGTCAAGGCTGGGTTTGGGGCGTGGGGCGGAGGGTGGGAGCCTCCAGGGGGCCCGTCCCAGCCCTGCAGCCTCCCCGCTACCCAGAGAGCTGGAGGAAGAGGAGTCACTGGCTCGGGCCAGGCTGGCGGTGAAATCCAGGAGCTCGTTGCGCACCACCACCTTGGGCGGGCCCTGCAGTGGGGCCCCCGCAGGCACGCTGCTTGGAGGTGGCGGCTGGGCACCATTGGTCTGCGAGTACACATTGCTCACGGCTGCGGCCATCTTGCTGGGGGCCTCGTGGTTGCAGACCTTGTAGCGCACCATGAGGATGACGATGAAGACCAGCAGCGTGGCCACGATGATGCCCCCGATGACCAGGATCATGGTGCCGCCCAGGATCTGGCTGTGCATGGACTGGCACTGCGGGTAGTCGGCCTTGGTGAAGAACTGGGCGCAGCCCACAATGTTGGTGGCCGTGAGTGTCGTGGCTGTGTCATCCCACATGGCCAGCACGCACAAGTCGTAGCCAGTCCCTGACACCAGGTTGTTGACCACGAAGGCCTTGTTGGAGGCTGGGATCATCCTGGGGAGGGGGGTGTTCACAAAGGGTGAAGGGTGGTGGGGTGGAAGGACAGGGTGATGGGGAGGGGACAGAGGCAGAAACAGAGTGATGGGTGTGGGGAGACCAAGACAGACACAGGGGTACAGAGAGAATGGGGCAGAGGGAAAGAAAGGGACAGAGGGGTAAAGAAACACAGAAGGAGAGAGATGGAGAGACAGAGGAGGGGGAAGAGGGAGGGAAAGGGGCAGGAAGGTGGCAGGAATAGAGCATAGAAAATGGAGAAGAAAGAGATGTGAGGAGGGAGACCCAGACAAGGGGACGGAGACAGGTTGGGGTGGAAAGGAAGGTGAGAGAGGGAGATTCAGGGATGGAGCATCAGGGAGAGGTGTAGATGGAAGATGATGTGTCAGAGACCAGGTGAGAGAAAATCCAGAGATATGGAAACAGAACCACAACAAGACAATAAGTATGAAGATGAAGGGATTGAGAAGGAGGGCAGATGAAAGCAGAGACAAGGAGAGGCATTTAGAGGTGAAAGGAAAGAGGAGGAGGGGGAGAGACTCAAGCAGAGTTGAGAGAGAATAAACAGGGACAGGCAGAGGGAGAGACAGAGAAGCAGAGAGGTTAAAGTGTGAAGCAGCAGAAATTATACAAAGGGACACTAGCTACCCATACCCCCATACCTGCTATAGGTATTCCCTCTGTCTTTGCGAAGGGCAGAGTGAGAGTCAGGTCATGCCAGCCCACCCCAAAGCTTGCTCCAGCCCTCCTGTGACCTCTGAGACTCATGGGGATTCCCGTCAACATTTTCTGAGCCTTCTTTCTGGACCAGGTGCTGTGATGTGTCAGAGACAAGGTCCTGCCTGGAGAGGCCAGCACCACCCTCACCTCCAAAGGGCTTTCTCATGACTCGGAAGGGAGAACGTTTGCTGCAGTGGACCGAGGGAAAGGGGTCTGAGCAGAAGAGGATTGGAGGCAGGAGAAGGGGGCCTGCTGCTTAGGAGTGGAGGGACGGTGCAGTGTTAAAGACTGGGGTGCACTTCTGAATCCTTTGTCCTAGTTGTGGTAGGCCAGGCTCAGCCAGAGTTTCTTAAGTAGAAGACTGACTGCTCCTTCTACCTTAGGGTGGGGTCTGATGGGGAAGCACTCTCCCCACATTGTGGCTGGTCCTCTCCTGCCTGGACCTCTTCACTCTGAACTCTTGGCCCTTGTGGCCTTGTTAAGCCTGAATGCACACCCTGAACTCTAAGACCCTTGTTGAGGTATCATGCCTTCTGCTAAGTCCAAAGATGATGCCTGTGTCACTTCTATAAACACTCCTGCGGAAATACCCAGGCCTGAACAGACCACTGTGTAGCTTTCTTGGTAGTTCCTCCACTCCCATT